TCCTGTTCCACCTCCTCCTCCTCCTCCTCCTCCTCTTCCTCCTCCTCCTCCTCCTCTTCTTCTTCCTCCTCCTCCTCCTCCTCCTCCTCGTCTTCCTCCTCCTCCTTCTCCTCCTCTTCGTCCTCCTCCTCCTCCTCACCTTCCTCGCCTTCCTCCTCTTCCTCCTCCTCCTTCCCTTTCTCCACCTGGCCTCCTTGCTGTAATCCCCCTCGTACATCCATTCAATGACATGTTGGGTTGCATTGTGGAAGGTTATGGCGCCAAGAATGAGTTTCCTACCTTTGCTGGTGGATAAGCTACGAAGGCATTTCCAATCGGTTCTTCCTCCTGGTACGGAAATGGCGTGGTTTGATTACAACGGTCTGCCATTAAAGTGGTGCGTTCCTGTTTTTTTTTTTTTTTTTTTTTTTTTTTTGGTTTGTGCAGTTTGTTTTCGAGTTTTCGACATGCCGTCGCCGACAGAAGAATGTGAGGGCACTTGCAATTGAACGTGGAAACAGGAAAAAAAGGAGAAAAAGAAAATCTGGAACAGAAACACGGTGAAGGCAATTTATACTTACACTCGGACCTCGGATTTACCCTGGATGTACCTGGAAGCAATTTTGTCCAGTTCTGCATGTATCTGACTGCAATTAGGTCCAGAAACCAGTTGATAAAGACCTAGTGTGAGAAGTATGCGCTCGATGATCGTTATGGAGTCTATGGACTTATGATCCAGCCGTTATGGACTTGTGATCCATCTGCCACCGCTACCGTCTTCACCCGAGTAAAACACTGAGTCGTTGTCCCGATATCTGGACTCAAAGTTGCCCCAAATACAGATATAATGACCTGGCGTTCTATTTGGGGCAAGACTGTAGTTAGAAACTTTGATCTGACGACTTGATGAACTCTCACAGAGCTTTCATGAACTTTCACGTGATGACTAAATGGGTGGTGTCGTTTTCGGCAAATTTTTCACTGAAACTGCCCTATTTCCCTGAAGTTCAAAAGTTGTGCTTTTTTTTTTTTTTTTTTTTTT